TGGCAGTTTTAATTTTTCTAAAAGTTCGGTAAAGTTTTGGAGAATCCACATGATTTACAGCACTTCTACATGTAATTTATATGTTGAAGCACAGTATGAATGAAGATGATTATTTCATCTTTTACTTATACATGTATCACTTGATATGTTGTTTACTATCATTTTATTATGTAAACAATCTTTTTTCATTTTCATGGGTAAAGAAAGAATTTTTTAAAAGATGTTTTTTCATTGTACATGTGTGATCAATTTAATTTGGTCCACTGTAGGAACTTAAATATATAAATATGACATTATGGTATTTTCATTTTATTATCCTCCTAGAACTAGCTTGTGGTGTGAATCCTTGGTTCAGAGAATACGAAAATTATTTCCATCACAGGAGGATGGAAATACCTTAAATAAAACTGATGGAGATTTCAAATTTTAAAAAATCCAAATATTGGGATGTATTTCTATAAGGTTAAGGCAAAACTTTGTAATTCGAACCGTTCTGAATCAATTTGGAAATTAATGAAATGTTATGCCCTTGAACAAATCCCTCCTCATCAATGAAAGACCCTTGGTTATAGATAACTAAGTTTTTGTTCTGTGATGAAATTCTACAAAGGAATCTTCAAAAATGTAGTAATATTTCGCCACAGGATATTATCGATAAAAAAGTGTAATTTACAAAAATAATTTCCATACTTTTGTTTCTAAAGAGAGATTTTAAATACAGGATCCAGGGAAGTGGCTCATAAAAGATACAATTGATTACAAGAAAATTCCCCAGATAGTCACTGTGAATAATATGTCACAAATTCATTAAATCAGACCCTTACTTGACTTAGTACTTATGTACATGCATATCAATACTGATGCAGAAAAATAGGAACCCGTTCAAATATAAAATGTAACTGTTCATCGATTTTTTAAAAATTTGATTTCATCTCTAAGAATCTCACTCTCGTTTTCAGTAAATTTTCTCAAACCTTTTGCATTAAATGTTAATTGATTATCAATTCAATCATGAATCAACTCCAAACTAATTCGCTTCAGTATTCAACAGTGTTGCCTTTCTTTTCTTCAGTTCGTCAGCGTTGCAAAGTGGTTAAGAGTCCCGATTTGGAATACGGAGGTATTTCTTCTGATTGAAAATTATATAGGGGCCTACCGAGGTTCCCTGACGCAGAGGGTGTTGGCAGGGACGTAAATCTGACAAGCAACCAACCAATCGGTTCTTCAAGGGGCCTGGGGTCCCATGGCAGCAACTTGACACGGGACCTCTGACGTTGTGCGGATTGATGAATGCTTGTACTACTGTATGAAAGACATAGAAAGTTCTTACTTATGAGATAAATTGTCATTACAATTTTCTTTTGGGTTTTTGAGAATGCATATTTTATTTACACCAATGTAACATTTATAGAGCACAGTATGCAAATTCATATTTTTTTTATCGGAACGGTATTGTATCTTCGATTATAGGTATTTTATGAAGTTTTGGAATACAGTGTAGGTAATAGTGATTTTAAAGAGATCTTATCTTTTGAAGGGGGACTGCGAGTACAAGTTTTAGCAGACGTGTAATAAAAGTCAATTTCTTCAAAATGCAGTTCTTCTACTAAGTCTTATACTGTTATACTCAGGAACAATAATGCTACAAGTCATGTCATCTATTGAAAAGGAAAGGATATTAAAAAAAAAAAGACCAGAACACTTTGTCAGAATGGATTAAATATTATATGTATATTAAAGAAGTGTACAAAATTTTTTTAAAATGCGAATAATCTATCTTTTCGATTTCACTAATTGGGAGGCGGTAAAAGAATTCATCTTTGTTTGTAAAGCTCATTAATAATTATATTTTATTTTGGAAGAACTTCGTTTCAATTCTACCTCTGGAAATCCTACACATACTTGTAGTTTACTAAGGATGAAATACTTCAAAATCACATTTCAAACTTTTAACATTCCTGTCAGACAAGGAAAGTTCGATACTGTACCTTTACTGGATGTTTAACAATCATTAAAATCCTTACAAAGAAAGATATGCCGGGTCCAGCAAATGCACTACAAAGCTATACCACTATCTTTACTCCTTATCAAAATATTAAATGTCATTAAGAGAAACCTTAGTACAGACGTACTGTGCTGCAGCATATTCTAGAAGTGGTTTAAGCATCAATTTTTCAAGAGCCTGTAAAAATAAAAACGTACAACTTTTCTACACTTTTTACAACCACGTTAAATTAAAAAAAAAACTAGGAGACTGTTTCATCAATAGAACCAGAAGTCTCTGTCGAGACTGTAGCTCTACTGGTTTTTACTTATCAAAAACCATTGCACTATTTTAAGTTTCTTTGTGTAGTCTACTTGTGTGCCAACTTATTTAATTTGAAATCAAACTAAAACTGTAGAAGGAGTAGCGTTTTAAAGGAATTTCACGGAAAATTCTATTTCTAGTAACCATGGCAACACCATTCATTGAAATCAAAAACTTATGCACTGTTCTTTGTATCTTAGTGTAGTCTACTTGTGTGCCAAGTTATATTGAAATCAGCTAGACCAAAACTGTAGAAGGAGTAGCATTTCAAAGGAATTTCACAGAAAATTCTATTTTTAGTAACCATGGCAACACCGTTCATCGAAATCAAAAACCGATGCACTATTCTATTTATCTTACGTTAGTCTACTTGTGTGCCAAGTTAAATTGAAATCAGACCAAAACTGTAGCAAAAGGAGTAGCATTTCAAAGGAATTTCACAGAAAATTCTATTTTTAGTAACCATGGCAACACCGTTCATTGAAATCAAAAACCGAGCATGCACTATTCTATTTATCTTAGTGTAGTCTACTTGTGTGCCAAGTTAAATTGAAATCATACCAAAACTGTAGAAGGAGTAGCGTTTTAAAGGAATTTCACAGAAAATTCTATTTTTAGTAACCATGGCAACACCGTTCACCAAAATCAAAACCGATGCACTATTCTATGTATCTTAGTGTAGTCTACTTGTGTGCCAAGTTATATTGAAATCAGACCAAAACTGTAGAAGGAGTAGCGTTTTAAAGGAATTTCACAGAAAATTCTATTTTTAGTAACCATGGCAACACCGTTCATTGAAATAAAAAACTGATGCACTATTCTATGTATCTTACTGTAGTCTACTTGTGTGCCAAGTTTAATTGAAATCAGACCAAAACTGTAGAAGGAGTAGCGTTTTAAAGGAATTTCACAGAAAATTCTATTTTTAATAACCATGGCAACACCGTTCACCGAAATCAAAAACCGATGCACTATTCTATGTATCTTAGTGTAGTTTTCTACTTGTGTGCCAAGTTATATTGAAATCAGACCAAAACTGTAGAAGGAGTAGCGTTTTAAAGGAATTTCACAGAAAATTCTATTTTTAGTAACCATGGCAACACCGTTCATTGAAATCAAAAACTGATGCACTATTCTATGTATCTTACTGTAGTCTACTTGTGTGCCAAGTTATATTGAAATCAGACCAAAACTGTAGAAGGAGTAGCGTTTTAAAGGAATTTCACAGAAAATTCTATATATTTAGTAACCATGGCAACACCATTCATCGAAATCAAAAACCGATGCACTATTCTATGTATCTTTGTGCAGTCTACTTGTGTGCCAAGTTATATTGAAATCAGACCAAAACTGTAGAAGGAGTAGCGTTTTTAAGGAATTTCACAAAAAATTCTATTTTTAGTAACCATGGCAACACCGTTCACCGAAATCAAAAATCGATGCACTATTCCTTGTATCTTAATGTAGTCTACTAGTGTGCCAAGTTATATTGAAATCAGACTAAAATTGTAGGAGGAGTAGCATCTCGTTTTTGAAATATTGTTTACAGACAGACAGACGTGAAGTTGATTTATACATCAAAGACAGACATCTGACGGACGTTAACGTTGCAGGGCGGGGGTGGAGGCTTCCCTATTATTTTCTTAAACATAACTATATATATATGGTAATTTGGTTATATATAACATAGACTTTTACGTTGATATTTTCAAAGTTTTTGTCTGTGAACGAAGAACATTTGAGACCATTTTTTCAAAGAAATACTACATAGGGATAATTGCTTATGGGCACTTACTGTGCTCACTTTAGTTTGCATTAGCTGTACATATATTGTTTTTATATTCTAAGAAGCAGGATTGATTTAGATTTAAGTGTGTTCAAATATTGTTAAAACAGATTTTTTCTAAATGTTAAAGACAATTTTATAACTAAAAAAACTTGCTACACGACACCGTTATACTCGAGCACGTTTCCGTTTTCTCTCTAGAAGGACAAGTTAAATTTCAAATGCAAAAAAAAATAAATAAAAACGTTATTAGTAAATAATAACGAGATATCGATTAACAATAGTATTTTCATTTATACATCGATTCGTTTTTTCCAAGTGAAATTGGTTTTAAAGACACTAAAGAGTTGGCCTATTTTTGAAAACGTTAACTTTGACTATAACTTTCAATCAGATTTATACTAGTATTTCAAATCTTGACCTTGACTTTTGTGATTAACTTGCATTTGAGAAATTTTACCTTCGTAAGCTGACATACGTGGTGTTTCACAAACACATCATGTTTATCCTTTAAAAAATGATTTGTTTTCATTGTCAACTATGCACTTACATCATCAAGAATGATGTGTATAACAGAAATAAAGATAAAAGAAAAGGAAACACAAATAAAACTAGAGATAATTTTGTGAATATGACATATTCAAGTTCTTAAATTGTTCGTACGTGGATGCAATATATTAAACAATATCTGTGGGAAAAGCGGAATGCAAGATTCCTCGCGACGTAAGCCGCTCGTACAATGAGGGTAATAAAAAAGAGAGACGAAAATGATAGAACAGTGCTTCATCTCATGAATCCTTTAGAAATGTAAGGTTTGAACAGAGCAAAAACATGAGGAAGCATCAGTAAATATGAAAGAAACAAACTCCATTTTATGCAACAAAAAAAGATACATTTATTGTTTAATTACATTGCTGTGTCTACAGTCGAAATGTTAGTGCATGAATTTCCCATGCCAGAGTCCAGAGACATCTGACTACAATTCTTTTTGACCTTAGAGACTTTAGAGTTATAATTCTGATTTCTTCTATTTTTAATGATGATGTACACTACCCCATTTAACACACCACCGAGGTTTGTGAACACGACAACCACCGTGAAGAATTCCTGTGGCACCACCGCAAAATTGTGCCACACACTGATGATTGCTAGGGCCCACCATTGGATAAAGAAAGCAGCAACAAAGAGACTCATCAGCTTGGCCGCCCTGTGAGACGCACGCACCGTCTGAGCCTCTTTTCCTAGCATGGTCTTGAGCCTTTTGGATTCCGTGTTGATTTTCCACCATGTTAAGATATAGAGCACCACATTTACCACAAGGATGAGGGTTATTGGAACAGTTACAAAGAAAACGCTAGCAAGTGCTCCTTTCACGCCATCAAATAGGCAACTGTAAAAAAAAAATCAAAGAATTTATAAGGAGCGATTCATATAAAAGTATTAATATGATTTAGAGGAAATAAGTTAATTGATATAAGTATGCATAGTTAAAAATAAAATTACTAAGATCCTGAGGGGCCATAATATCCTAAATTCACGGCACACATTGACATTACAAAAGGTACTCCGAATGTGTAAAGAAGAAGCCTCCAGTCATATCTGCCAAGTTTGAACTCTTTATGAAGGTAAATGAGTGCGAAAGCGTTGATAGCTGCCACATTAGTCATCAGAAGTTGTGCAGATACAAATTCACCAAGGAAGAATGAATAAAACTCACACAGTTCTCTGGGATACACGTGTTCCTTAGTGATGACCATCTGAAGATGGTCCATGCTGTGTGTCACATTAAAGAGCGCGTCACACAGAGACAAGTACACTACAAAACGCTCACTTCGCGTCCAGGAAAAGAACGGCCGCGTCCGACTCCGGAATGACGCAATGATAACGGCAGATGCACTAAAAAGACTGAGAAAGATACAACATAAGGCAGGAATGTGGATAAAGAGGAACCATTGTGTGTCTAGTCCATAAACATCTAAATCATATCCATCCCGGAGGACCTTATCTCTCTGTGTGCTGTTCTGTGCCGAATTATTCCTCGACAGATTAGAGAAAGAAACTTGATCCATTTGAATACAGAGAAAATATTCCAAGGAATAAAGGAGAATTCAGAGAAATGCAAAGACTGAGAGTCTACTGAGTATTTAAGGATAAGACGCCTTTGTTAACCGTTTTGAACTCATTTGGAAACAAATGACGCATGTCCTTGAATAAATACATGCCATCCCCTGATCATCAACCAAACGCTCTAATTCAGATACTAATTCTGTGATGAAATTCTCCAAAGGTGTGTTTTAAAACTATGGTAACTAATATTGTGCCACTAGAGACTACCATTTGTTTAAAGAGTGCAATTAGTAAAATGCCTTTCCATTAGATTGTTTCTACAGGGAAATTTAAATACAGAGGGCAAAGAGGAGGAAGCTTATTGGTAGCTCATTATTTACTTTCCAAGATTTCAAATAAAAAATATTGTTCGAGCACAGTTTTTCCGTTTAATATTGATTACAGAAAACCACAACTAAAATTTGTCTTAACATATGTCGCACATTCGCCCCCTTAGAAAAGTCAAATTTCTTGAATTTTGACTTACTCTATAGTTGGTTTATGAGCATTGGATCTTCGTTATATGTGCTAAGGAATCAAAGGTACCCCCTTGCTGAATTGTATGAAAGAAAACCATTTATTAAAATAGCATCGGGCATTGCTCGATAAATCATTTGTATTCATTCTTAACGAACATGTCATATTTTAAAAGCAAGGTCTCAGGTCAAGGTCATTTTTCATTGACGTTAATTAAAAAAAATGCTGTTGTCAATCATGTGGTGCGTACTTTTGTTTCAAATTAGAGATTTACAATTGTTCTTTTTGCTTAAAATCTTATTTGGTAAAATAAAGGGCCTATCGGACGACACTACCAAATTGACTTATACATGTATAAGTTAACTAAAATATAGATATATATTGGCAATTGGCTAACCCGAATTTTCATCCATATTCCCTAAAATGTAAGGAAATTTTTACATATTATTCAATTTTTTCTTATTTTCTCATATCGTAAAGAAGGCATATATAAAGATACAAGATTATACACCTCCCCAAAAAATTAGTTTTAATCGTTTACCAAATGAGAGAAGCAGGCTTCTTTTAATGATTAATTTTTTTTCTTGGATTGGGAGCTTTTGAAAGCCAACAAAATTGTAGTTTGCTTGGAAACTCAATTTTATGAAATATATTAAAACTTTAGTCCATAATGTTTGATTATTTTGAGTTACATCACACAATTTCTTTAAGTCTTTGACTATTTAAAGCTTTTAACTATATCATTGTTCCGTAGTATTTTTGCAAAGCAGAAAAGGAGATATTCACACTTGCAATTTCACCAAAAATACAGTCCCAGCTGTATTTCAAACTCCGATTTCTCCAGATTTCTCTCATTACCGTTTTGGCGGGGTGGGTTTTTCCTAGTGGGTTTAAGATAACTTGTTCATTACCTTTACATAAAAATTTATGAACATCCCGAGAATAGGGTTCAAAACGCCCCCTCCCCCTTCCCTAGATAAACAGTATATAAAACCACACCTTGTTAAAGTTAATGTCACAGTCTAAATAATCATAAAAGTCAAGAAAATATAGACAATTGCCATGGACGCTTTTTGGAATAGATGACTATCTTTACTGGTTCTACATCAACTAGTTAATTCTATTGAGGATCAATTATTGATTTTGTATTCAGTATGGAGAGTTACAATGTAAAAAACAGTGGCATACCTGTCAATCTATATGGCACATTTGTTAAGTGCAGAGCTGCATCTTTCTGCAGTTATTTGCCCAAAATTTTATTAAACATGTACTTAAATCTTCTATTTTTTGCAAACAACTTTATAATAGCTCTTCATGTGTCAATCTCAAACATACCAGTAAACCATTACCACTCATCTTCCAAAGGTTTAGCATTAAAATGGAAGAGCAAACAGTTTATATCTAAAAATAATGTCATTTTATTTATCTAAACTCCAGTATTTCTTTGTATCATTACAATGGCATCTAGTGCAGGTTTGACATTATTATTAAGCACTTTAAAACCAACTCAATTATTGTATATAAAATTGATTACAATTACATATCAGTATTTTTTCTAAAAAGATAATTACTCTGTTAACCTAAATGTGCCAAGAGATTTAAACAGAACATGTAACAGTATATTGGGTTATAACTCACAAATGTACAATGTTATTTATTTTGTCTCTTGTCACTTCATTCATTGTTTTCCTCTATGTGTATAAAGTAATTTTGCTCATTGTTTTTTTTTTTTTAATTTTTTGATTTAATGGTATTGATAATGCAAATACTTTGTATCATGAAATCTAAGACTGTTTTCTATTATAAAGCTTTAATTACAATTAATACTTGCATAGTTACATGAATACATCTCTTTACTTATGATATCATGTGAAAAAGTTTGGCACATTTCTTATCATTAAGCATGGAATATGGCAACATCTAATTATGATGGTAAGTAGTATATTACATCATTTTTTAAATTAGAAAAATAAAGGAATCATTTTAAAGAATTGGCAAAAGTTAAACTTTACAGGAGGTACATGTACTATTAGAAGTATATATAGAGCATTGTACATATAATTATAACAACATGCATGTAAACAAAGGAAGGAACAATCAGTAGTAAGAATATAAGGTGGAATGTGGAAAATGATGCAATCAACAGCAAAATTCATTTGTTTAAATAAAGAATGTATACATGTACATATAAATATATTATTGAGTCCTTAAAATGTAATTTAAATCATAAGCATGTCAAGCAGTTGTCAACAAAGACCCCCTCCCCTCAAAAATATGAAAAAACATTCTCATATATTCAGGTTCACATACTTCAAATTTTTTGCATATATTAGCTATCATAAATAACTGATACAGGACCCCAAAAATATACAACACAAATAACAAATGAAAATGTTCTATAATTATGCAAAAGAATAAAAAATGTTGAATTTAAGAGCCCTTTTAAACTCAGGTCTTAAATAATTGATTTACAACAAATAAGGATATTAATAAAATATTAAACTAAATATAACTGAGAAACCATTGAGCTACCTACAGTACTGTATATCTAATGATAACTCAATACAGACTTTAAAACAATTTCACAGGAAAGGAGAAAATATATGACTGGACCTGGATTCAAACCTAGAACCCCTGCCTCACTAGACAGGTGCTCTACTGACTGAGCTACCCAGGTGGATATCCACGGCCCAAACCATTAATTCCTCAAATTGAAGAAACAACCCTACTTTTGCCTAGTCCAAGGATTTTAGAGGTACTATATTATTTAACAGAAAAAGAAGAGATGGCTGGATCTGGAATTCAACCCAGGACCCCTGCATCACTAGTCAAGTGCTCTACCACCTGAGCTACCCAGGCCGATATCCACACCCAGACCATTACAGCTGTAAGGTGGAAGTCCTAGTTAAGCTAAATTCTTTGAAAACATAAGGTATAATATGTACTATTTTCACACATTAATTTTGATAGGATTCACACTTCAGTTCTCAGTACAGCTTCACACAACAGAGTTACACCTTGTAATAAACCAATAACATTACAGCAGGTAAATATATAATCAGAATCATTAGTACTGTAACGTCATTAATATTCAAATTATATGGTAAACTTGGCCAACAATAAAAATTCCAGTCTATAGCATGGCCTAAATATTGTGGTTAATCCAAGTCAATTCCTGAGTATATCACCTCTTTTATACACTGTCTGTTTTTAACCAAAGATTATCAAATATAATTTTCACAATGGTAAAAAGTAGACCAAAAAATAGCAATTTCTGTGTCATGCTTACATACTCACAAACTAAGATAAAGGCTAATACATATGGTGGAATAATTCAATATCTATCTGTGTATTTTGATCACAAAAACTCACATAGAAAAAGTATCATTTACAAGTTTTTGTAGAATAAACTTCCAAACATCATGGAATGGCTCTTATATTGCACTAAATTAATTAATCTCATTAAGAATTTATTCAAAGCCAGAACCCACCCCTTTATAACTCTGTCTGAACACGGTAATGATGGTGGGGCCTGGTGAAGTTGAAGTCCCAGATATACGTGGAGTAGTTGGAATGCCAGTCCCTCAGGAAGATATCCTCCAGCTGCTGACGGACGTCTGCCTGGGACTTGTTCTGATTGACCACCAATCCTATACCTCCCGTGTCAATGAAGTAATCCGCTGACCAGTTAGAGGTACCTGTAACAGGAAGTATCGCTTAGTTTGATGTGAATGTGTAGTTACAGATAAATTGATGTAGAGACAGTGTCACTTAATAGTTTGATGTGAATGTGTAGGTATCCAAACATCTATGCCCTGTTCCCATAAATGCACAAAAAATATTGAATTTCCAGTAAATAAATGCAAATAAAACTATAAAATGCAAATTAAATTGCATTCACACAACATTTAAAGTAAAGTTAACTAATGAGCATTGATTTCTTTCTGTAGTAAGGCTATGGTGGAGTCATCTGTAAATCACATCACCTAATGCACGACATGATAGCTTACCTATATAAGCAGTTTTATCTGTCACCATGTACTTATTATGATTGACTCTACCATAAGGAATTTTCTTTTGGTCCTCAGTAAAAGCAGGAACTTCAAATATTCTCTGGAAAATATAAAACATTAGTATTTTTGCATCACTTCATTTATCAAAAGCTTTTTTAAATGATCAATTACTGTATGAATTTTTTCATCTCTACAAAAATTGGGGAATCCTTGACCTTCAATTAATCTAAACTTTTCAGTATCTGCATGTTATTTTTCTATGCTAATTAAGAATAATTTTTTTAATATTCTAATTTAGCCGATTCCCCGCTCAATTTCCAAGCCATTACCAATCTTTATGGTAGTACCATAAAACATACCACATTTATATCAATCTTGGGTTCCCTGTAACTCTTTATCTCGGCCAATGACTTCAGATATTTCGGCATGTCCTCCCACGTATGATTCCAGTAACTAATCAGAAGGCTGACATTAACACCACGGTCAAAGGCAGCTCTCCTAAAGGCATCGTCAATTACTGGCCAAAATCTGAAAAGTAGAATGTTGATTCATTCAAATTAAAACCTGCAATTTAAATTTACAAGTAACTTGTTTTTTTTTCCTTTTTTATTAAACAAAGTGCACATAAGGCATAACAAGCTAATTCAAGGAATTAGTGTCTCCTGCTTCAGGACAGGCATTTATTTGAGGTGCAAGTGTATTAGCCAGAAACAATTTGTAACAATTCATGTTTATGGCCTTGACCTTTGACCATTCACTTAAAATATTATCAACTGAGGTCATGCTTTCATTATGAAGAGTATGTTAAAACCAATTTACACGAAATATACTGTATGTGTACATAATTTGGTGTATTTAAAATTTAGTGCAATCAATGGATAAGGAATTGTTGGCATAATCATGAATTAGTGCTACACATGTTCGTGCCGTATATTCTAATTATTAATTATTATTTAGCGGTATTCATGAATAAGCGCATCATCATATGCACCACAGCCGCTAAAATGTGAAGCCCACTATTTTAGTACACATAAAGTAAGTTTTACACTTTACCTAGCTTTTACCCGGTAAGTTCAAAATAAATTGGAGTTGTTCTAAAATTACAAAGAGTCTTATTCCATTAAAGTTTCTTTTCAAAAAATTAATAAGCTTACGTCATCTGGAAATATTACCAGAGCACAATATATTAATTTTTGAACTTGCAGATTTTTTTTTATATTTAAAGTACATGCATGATATGAAGATTCTATTACGATTACACTTTACAGTATTACAATATTTTACCTCCTTGGAACTCCATGTGGTGGAAACTGGGTTGTTGGGAAGTAATCCATGACAGCCACATACACAAACTTGTCACCACTGTCAATAATTCTAATTATAGCATCAATATCAATAGTCCTCCCTTCTGGACACAAGGGATACGGAGAACTCTGAAAAGATTGACGTTTAGTTTAAATATCTGACCATTCCAAAGATATAAACACACACAAAAAAACAATTTTCCAAAATATTATTAAATTGGTAAATTTTTTTTTGTCCTAAAGCAAGAAGAAACATGGTAAGTAAATTTGCTTACTGATAAATAAGTGGTTGCCTCTGAGTTGTTGAATTTAATCAGCATGGATGTATTGTCATTGACTGACGTGGAGTACTGTGCTGGCCAGCTGTTGGGGACAGAAGCATTAGGAGCCCCTAAATACCAGTAGACATCAAATATCTTCCCCATGTCTGCTGCCATACAGCTACAGTTGTACACCGCGGCCCCTAACTCCTTCACCTGTACACAGATAAAATACCCTTGTTAAACCAAGCCCTGTGATTGGTATATATTGAAGATTTTCATTTAGCATCTTTTGAATTTGTTAAAATCAATCCCAATCATATGTTACAAATTTTCATAGATTTATTAAATGCATTTTCATTATATGATCTATAGATTCCTGCGCAAACAACAGAACCCGTGACTACGACACCATGATGAATTTCACAGTTCTAGATAAAGTACCCTTGCTTACAATAAAGTACATGTACTGTGCAACTGGTTTATCTGCTAATAACCCAGGAGCAGAGAGGAACATCTTCAATGAGTTAATGCATTTTAACTAAAAATCAACAGAGACCCACTTAACCCAGTGACCAGGAAATCCAACATTTAGGAAGTCACATGGCACCCATGCTTATAAAAACCAAGCATCAGTACCCAGAAGCAAGGGAAACATTTCAAAGAAATATTGTATTACTATATCATACTCATTAGAGCCCTCTCCTAATACCAGAACCCAAGGGCCATGAATTTTACAATTTTGGAAGAGGGAACCTTGCTCAACATCACTGTGTTCATTTTTCTGCTAAATACACAAGAAGACAGGGGGCAGAAAAACAAGGATTTTATAAAAGGATTTACTCATGTTGACCATATGCTCAGTAAAGCCCACTCCCTACTCACAAACCTCTGTTCCTTGGGTAATTAATTTCACAATTTTGTATGTAAAAATTGCATTAATTTTTTTGGTTTTAGCCCCATCCCTAAGGCTCCAGGGGGAAGAACCATATATTCTATATTCCCCTTTACCCACAGATACTACACTGTAATTGCAAAAAAATTGAGTGAAATCTGCTCTGCGGTTCCAGAGAAGAAGCTGTAAATGCATGTTTGAATGTTTTAAAAGCATGTTGCATGGCACTAAAATATACAGAAATCACAATAGTAATAAAAAAGAAATGCTTTAAAAAATATACACATGTATTCAAATTATGAATTTAAGCAGTAATTTGAAGAAATCAATTAAAATAACTTGATCTATTACCTGAGTTAATGATCTCCAGTCCAAGTTTGCACTGCCAACATAGAAATGCTTTCTGTCAATTAGCCACATCTTGGTGTGAAGAATCCCAGATCTAAACCATTGTTTGAAGTTCAGAGTTCTTACTTCAGCTCCAGCTAATTGGATAAAATAAAAATGGATTTAATCATGGATTCAGAATTTATCTAGAGAGTTGAATTGCATTTTTTTTTTTCATTTCCTTGACGTAATTTTGAAAATATACTTGCCATATTTAGCCAGATATTCTGTGTTTTTGTTAATTCCATTTGGTTCATTTTGCGCTATTTTTATTTTAATTTTTCTGTCATGGCCTGCACTAGCTAAAGTCTGTAATATTTTTTCTCCCTATAAAACAAGTATAAAAACAAACAAACTATAAAGAGCGAATAAATCACAATCTCTTACCCTGGTTAAAAGTAATATTCCATTCTTTATAAAATTAAAAAGCTCAAACCAGTAATTAAGTTTTATAATTTTGACCTTGAGGTTATGAGCCTGACCATCTTCCCTAGCCAAGGGTTCAGATCCGCTCCACTTCTTTTTGACAGTAAGGCCAAATGTAAACCCTTGGCTAGCTAAGATGGACTATGATTAAGAAAAGGTTTCCACTTTTTTTTTTTAGTAAAAACAAAGTATAGCTTCCACTGAAGTTGAATTCATTCAATTTGAATACAATCAGACACTAAAAATGTACCAACTTCTAAAAGGGAATGAATTTACTGGTACAATATGTTCTATGTAGTACATGTATCATAAAAAACTGTTGCTACTTGACAGGAATATAGCTTGACTCTGACCTCCCAAGATGAGTTGTCATGGAAATCAATATCTGATCCGTTCAGTGTCCAGTAGAAGGAGGCGATTTCTATGCTCTTTGTTGCTGCTTCCATCAGATTCATCAAACCGGAGAAAGTCGACGGGTGAGAAGGGGAGCCTGGTTCTAAGGTCATCCCAACAGGTATACTCTCCACTATTGATAACCTGTAAGTAAAACAAAACAACTTGAACATTAATATAAGTTCAACTCCTGAGATTTGTTTCTTGGATTGCACAGTTTGTTTTTTCTAATTTGTTACCTGAAGATTAAATAACTATTTTCTTGATATTGTATGCACTGTTTTATTTAAATGTTAATTCAAACTTGTAAACTGAGTTCAAGCAGGTCAAAAACTCTTAAGCTTCAGTCTGTATTACTGAACATTAAATGTACATCTCTTAGAATGATACCGTACTTACACACACTGATCATCACAGACTGGATTATTTACAGGAATCGGCCCATTACTGTTACTGTCATGTTGATTAGCAGCCACAAAGTATACAACAGTAGTAATAGCTGCTCCTAGCGTCGCAACCATTAGAACCACAAACATCGCAGTCCGCCATACTGCTGGCTTGGCTTTTCCAAACAGTGAATCTATATCTGGATCAAGTGGAGTTTTCACTTGAACATTGGAATCCATTTCTGTTTCCTAACTTTCCTTTGTCTACATTTTAATAAAACCAATTATATTTCATACTATGTAAGTATCATTATAAATGTATAGATGCATTTCTGCTTTCAAAAGGACTTGCAGTCTGGCCTAGCATGCATGTGTAGAATTCCCATATCAAAGACTATATTCTTACAGTTTAACACTATATTTTACCCAAATAATATTAGTTATCCAGGTTCAATCAACTTTGGTGTACACGGATTTAGTATATATTTACCCCAGGTTCAATTCCATACACCCTGAGGCCGAATGGAATACAACTTGGGTAAATCCCTGTACACCCTTGATTGGACCTGGATAATGAATTTATTTCCTACGTTCCCAAATAAATTCGTTGTAAACATAAGTCCAATCAACTGTGTCTCAACCTATCGATAAAATTTACTGTGATAAATGCTTTGTGATGCCATATGTTATTTGCTTTTATCATATAAATCTAATGCTTGTGCTCAAGTACATAGGAAATAAAGATGCAAATATTTGATCCAACATATCTTCTGCCTATAAGCAGCCTTCATGACAATTTTTTAAACCCAAATTCTGATTGTTTTTCCCACACAATTATAATATCCAAGGAGCTGCAGAACTGAGAGGAAACCAGAATTCTCTTTCAAGACTGAAGCTCTACTTCTGTACTGGTGTGTACTTATAACAAAGGAAGATGAAAGTCACAGTTGGGACTTACGAAACTTAATACAACAGCAATAAATAGAATTTTAATGATCCTTGATTAAGTCTCTTTTTGTCATGTTTGTGACAATATTTTGCAATAAGACTACAACTGTAGGAGAAACTTTTAATAAACTTTTACAGTATTTTTTAATTTTAGTTACCATCATTCATCAGAATAAAAAAAAAACCAAATATGTATCTTAGTGTAGTCTATTTTCATGCCACATAATCAAAACTATATTTGGAGCTGGCTGAGCTTTTAGAGAGAATTTTACAAAAATTCCTATTTTTAGTAGCCATGGCAACACGGTTCATTAAAATCGATATTACAGAGTTATGTATCTTAGTGTAGTCTACTTGTGTGCCAAGTTACATTGAAATCTGACATACTGTAACTGTAGGAGGAGTAGCATTTTGTAAAAAAAAGTTTACAGACAGACAGACGGACAGACAGACAGACAGACGGACGGAAGCCGGACCCCTTACTATCGCATAAGCTCTTCTGGTCTCTGACCAGTAGAGCTAAAAATTAGAATTGGCGATGTAACATAAAAACAAAAGGATAAACTTTCCGTTTGGCAAGATAATATACTAATATGTTCAGGTCCAGTACAATCAGTACATTTAGCTACGTAGGTAGAATTACCTACGTAGCTTTATTTACCTACCTCAGGTAGCTTTATTTAGCTATTTCAATGTAACTTTTCTTTTTATGGAAAAGAGACAAAAAATCGCAGTTAAATGACTATTGATATTTATACTAGGGAGACTTTAAAAAACATTCCAAAGCAGAGATAGTTTAAACATCGCTGTGTTTGGTCAATTTAGAGCAAAACATGCATTTCCATTATTTGGTTAGCTGTACGTGCGTTGAGGCATGACTGAGTATGATTACTTCACATTGTGCTGAATAATTACCGACCTATTGTCGTGTTAACCGGAACTGGACTTCTTTGTCATTTCATTCAAGGAGTAACTGCTCTAACTGTCATACATAGCCCCAAAACTTTCAAAACTTTGATTGCAATTGCGCAGAAAAAGACATTTCTTCAAGAGGGAATTTTTCATGAATTGTTTTCAGATGAGTTCAAAGTTGAAAATGATCACTGCATCAAAATGATAGTTTTTGCACATCCTGAGAAAAATGCTTTTTTATAGAAATAAATTCATTTGGTAGCTAAATCAAGCTACCTGAGGTAGGTAAATAAAGCTACGTAGGTAATTCTACCTACGTAGCTAAATGTACTGGTTGTACTGGACCTGATGTTTCCTGCTTTACCCAGTACCAAGATGTAAACAATCAGCGCACAGATGAAAATATCACTGTGAACGCACAATATACTATTAGAATCAAGATTCACATAGGCAATATATTAACTGTTTTCATCTTTAATATTGTAGAAATAATATCAGCGATGATGTTTTCTTACTTTGATAGTTTTAAAATTTCGTACCTTGTGACAAACTTGAAAGGAACCATGTGATCAGTAGCTTGCGGTAAAAGTAGCGTCAGTCGGAATGGTTTCCGAGGTATGATAATTATAAAGCTATGTACAGCTAAAACTCTTTGAAACTTTGGATTTTTTTGCCCCCGTAAACAAAGTTTCGGAGTGTATAGTTTTTGTCGTGTCCGTCCGTCCGTCTGTCTGTCTGTTTGACCTTGACCTTGGAGTTTGACCCACTTTTACACAAAAATTCCAGACTATTACTTTGGCTCTATCTTTTGAACAGTAGATGCCAGGTCATTTATATACTTCACATATATGTATTCTCTGTGGAAAGAAACAACCTTGATCTTTTGACCTTGACCTTGGAGATTTCCGTATTTGTGAAAAAACTTTATTGGCCATAACTTTTAAACGGTAAGGGATAGACCTTCATACATCACTTATGTAATCATCGTGAAAAGACTCTTTATCGGATATAAAGAACTTTGAAACTTTGACCTTGACCTTTGAGTTTGACTTACTTTTAAAAATCAAATCTTGACCATAACTTTTAAGGGTTAGGGATAGTGCTTTCATGCTTTACATATTTTAGCCGTGAGACAAAACCTTTCATTTGATAGCAAGACCTTTGACCTTCACCTTAGAGTTTGACTACTTTTTGAAATTTAACCTTGGCCATAACTTCTGAACGGTTAGGGCTAGAGCTTCCATATTTTACATAAAATAATGTATTCTTTGTGGCAAGACCTTTCATTGGATACCAATGACCTTGAACTTGTTGCTATTAGGGATTGAATACGGAAGGATATGGGGTAAGTAGAGAATGTATTCTGCTCAGCCCTTTGACTTTATTTGTCAACTTTCTGCATGGGACTTTTTGTTGCCATCCCTGCTCCGACTTTTGGCGCTGAAATTCAGATTTTTTAAAATTATCGTTCGCTAACATCCGGAGCAATCTGCAACGTCGAAAAAGACAAATGTCAACGGTTCAGTTTCTTGGAGAAAGCATTCCAATTACCAGATTTAATTTTTTAATTAATCAAAACGATAACTAGATAATGTAAGTTGCACGATCGCGCTCTTGCGCAGTTCTTATAGACATGTCTTTTTTTAGTTTCATAGGCGTCGGAAGTAAATCGAAAGTGGGGGGGGGGAGGATAAAGCAACTATAAAAGGTTAACCCCATTATGCCTATATTATGTATGTATTTGCAAAAAAGTGGAAGGCTTAGCAGCCCCCCCCCCCCCCCCCCCTCGTTCCGACGCCTATGAGTTAAATGTTTTGGAGATGACATTACTGATATAGTACGAAAGCCTATTAGGATCAATTTAGAGAGAAAAAAAAATTAAAAAGGCGTTATAACGCCTTTTGAAAAGGCGTAATAACGCGAAAAAGGCGTTATTACGCCTTTCCATTCCAAAAGGCGTTATAATGAATTTTTAAAAGGCGTTATAACGCCTTTCTAAAAGGCGTTATTACGCCTTTCCATTCTAGAAGGCGTTATTACGCCTTTCCAAAAGGCGTTATTACACCTTTCTAAAAGGCGTTATTACGCCTTTCAATTCTAGAAGGCGTTATTACGCCTTTCCAAAAGGCGTTATTACGCCTTCCTAAAAGGCGTTATTACGCCTTTCTAAAAGGCGTTATTTCGCCTTTCCATTCTAGAAGGCGTTATTACGCCTTTCTAAAAGGCGTTATTACACCTTTCTAAAAGGCGTTATTACACCTTTCAATTCTAGAAGGCGTTATTACGCCTTTCCAAAAGGCGTTATTACGCCTTCCTAAAAGGCGTTATTACGCCTTTCTAAAAGGTGTTATTACGCCTTTCTAAAAAGCGTTATTACGCCTTTCTAAAAGGCGTTATTTAGCTTTCTAAAAGGCGTTATTATGCCTTTCCAAAAAAGTTATTATGCTTTTTGAATAACCATTATTTTGCTATTAATAGCCCCCCCCCCTCCACACACACACACACACACACACTCCACTGGCCAAATTCGTGGGGGAAATACTCGCTAAAAATTTATTTAAGTGCAATAATTTGTCACAGTTTTACATACTGCAACAAAATGTTCAGGAACCTAGAAACCAATAGTTAATTATAATATTTGAACTGTAGCAAGACTTTTCCTCAAAAGTGTGTATGTTTGGAGGGGGTTTACCCCATTCGCACTCGTATTACTGGCCTACATGAAAAGGAAAAGGAAAAGGCGTTATCTTATGTTAATAAATATAGAAAGATTTAATTAAAACCATCTTTATTTATGCAATTCTCTATATTCCTGCAATCTCACTGACATCTGTTTGCATTCGTATTAAGAGAAGGCAACACTCTACTTGTGAAGATTTAGAATATAGGCAGACTTATCTTGGAGCTTTGCTTGCCATGTACAGTGTATTAAAATTTATGTCATTTGAAGATATTTTTCTCTCTTCTTGGAAAAAAGCAGGCAACTATTTGCATGGGTATAATGAGCAATTGAAATCAATGACCCTTGGTAGCGATGTGCCTGGTATGAAAGAAGGACTTAGTTGGTTCATCATTGAAAATATTTGACGCATTTAAAAATCTTTTTTCCTGGAAATCTAATTGATATCTGTTTAAATTATTTTTTTGAGAAATTAGTCCTATATCTAATTGTGAAATTCATGTCCCAAAGGTACGATTTCTGCATACACCCCCCCCCCCTCCCCTCGGATGGGCTAAATATGTTTACTTATGTATTGAAAGTAAAAGGCGTAATAACGCCTTTTGGAAAGTCGTAATAACGCCTTTTGGAAAGGCGTAATAACGCCTTTTGGAAAGGCATAATAACGCCTTTTAGAAAGGCGTTATAACGCCTTTTAAAAAGGCGTAATAACGCCTTTTGGAATGGAAAGGCGTAATAACGCTTTTCAAAAGGCGTTATAATGCCTTTTTTCGCGTTATTACGCCTTTTCGAAAGGCGTTATAACGCCTTTTAAATTTTTTTCTCTCTACATTAATCCTAATAGGCTTTCCTATAAGGCCCATTGACCTCTTTTTTTTCAAATCAGAATGAGATTGTGAGTTTGGTAATTGGTCCTTTGCCAGGCTTTGGTAAGGGGTTATTCTCTATTGAGAAGTTGATGGCTCGTTTTAACTCTCCCCCTCAAGTGGTTGAGGGAGAGTATTAAAACGAGCCATCAACTTCTCAATAGAGAATAGTCAGGGGTATGTTCGGCAGTCTGTATGACCAGTTTTACCGATCTCTGATAATTTTTTATTTATTTATTATTTATTGGCGCAATAATAAAAACACCTCCACCTTCCTAAAAAAAAAAGACAACAACATTTTCATAATTTACGCGTGGTTTTTTATATTTGGAAAATTTTTAAAGTAATGAAAGTTTGTTCGAATATTTTGCGATTCATATAACAAGCACCCGTCACGCCAATTTAGCATCTCTTGACGTTTTCGAAATCTCAACTATCATCTTTGCCTTCTTTGGAGTTAAATTTATTTATACCAGTGAAAGGTAGGACGGTTGATAATTGATATATTTTTCTAAGAATTATTGAGAATATCTTTCTATTTCATTTTGTCAGAAATATAGAAATTTAGATACGAGTAAGTGACTGTAACGTAAACAGGTAAACAGTGGTCCAGTCCAAAGACTATTTCTACCTACCAATCTAGACGAACTCCAAAAACGGCGTTAACGGAAGTGAGAATTTCAGCCCAGAAAAGACTCCAAAAAACGAGTCCAACGCATGCGCAGTTATATAAAAAACGGTGAAAAATCGTGAAAAGTGGGCTCTTATAAAAAGTGTTTTTGCAAAAAATTGGATTACCTTACAATAATGTAAGTTCTCAGAAATGATTAATAATAAATGGTTTTAGAGAACGTATTTGTTAGAATTTTGATTTCATGTGCAAATAGTTTTTAATTTCAAGTCAAAGTTGACCAACTTCGAGGTTCAACCAGACATCATACAAGTAGGATACAAAATACAAATTAAACAGTCGTAATCTTATGAAAACATCTCTGTGGTTGATAATTTGTTTGTAGTGACTAAGTTAGTCATTTTAGAACTTCTTTTACTGATTTTAGAAGTTTATTTTGTAAGTAAGGAACGCTGGCGAATTTTCAGTTCGAATTTCCTCTATTTTTCATGTCTATCGTGTACGAATAAATTTCAGCATGTTTAGATCAGCAATGAGCAACTGCATTGTAAATACATCTTACCAATAACTAAAAAAGTACTGAATTGATGGTTTTAATCATAAATAAGAGTCGATCAGGTGACAGTTATACATGAGAATCCATTCAGTTTCCACATTTCCTCCGAGGCTTTTTTGAAGAAAGTTCACGTTTCAAGTTAGATCAAATACAAAGAAAAATAAACGTTTGGGAATTAAATATATAATAAAAGGGAAAAATATGTAAAATTGAACAATGTAATATATATGTTGTAACTGTTAAACATTGACCGAATTTTTACCTATTTGTAATATTATTTCGTGATATGATCCTGTATGACATCTGAATATTGAGAGCGTTAGTTATCACTATCGCTACATACCTAATGTTTTCACATATGAATAGATATTATCATGAAAACATTGTTAGAATTATAATTTATGAGTTTAATTAAGAACTTAAAAAAGAACATTCTTTTAAAATTATGGTTAAAAAGTCTTCTCAAATCGAACCTGTTAATATATCTCTTCTCCGCCGCCAAAATTGTGCGGTTTTTCGTAAAAAAAAAAAAAACGATATATAAGTCTCTTAGAAGTAAATTTAAGCATCTTTATAGTAGGAATGGCATAAAATTTAAATCAAGGGGACATCCGACAATAAAGTTAGAAAATTAATTCTTGCCGACTTTATTGAATCCTGGTGTCGTACGTATATCCCAAATCACTATTATGCAAGAATACAGAGTGATAAATAAGTCAATAATCACTTAATAATTTAATGGGTACAATTCTTTATTCAACAAAAATTGAAATCCAGTCACAGTTCACTAAATACAGCCATTATTCAGTCGTATTTGTG